GCTTCACGTCGGTTTTCTGTGAGGCCGTGGTATCACTCCGAACGAGCCGGCCCATTCGTGCCGAAGCATGGCTCTCCCACACTTATTTGTTAGATTGTTGTGGCTCTGAAGTGATATTGAAAAATAGTTTGTGGTAAGGCATAGAAAATGTCTAAGACTTTATTAACTAAATGTTTTGAGCAATACATTAGATCGTTTCTTTTTCCTTAGCCAATCAACGTGACTGTCTTATCGAAAATCGTAACCGTAACTACTAGTGTTTATGCACCACTATAAGTACTAGTAACAACTGTCAACATAGTGATAGATTATATTCTAGTGACAATAAACCTAGATTACTTTGTAGTGATATTGATAAAATACTATTCTATCTTTTTAGACCAGATTCTTTTATCTAAACTCCTAATCCTTTATTGGATTAGATAATTTTGTCATGGATATGTTAGAAAAACGCGACTGTTATTTTGTAAAAGTAAAGAAAAAATTATCGTTTTATTTATATTCGTAGATTCTTCATTTACTATACAGGATTATTTAAAATTGGTCTGTAGTATCCTCTGTAATGCAATGCGTACTTAATATTGCCATACTACCTTATATCATTTGGTTGATTTGAGTTTAAAAGATTACTATTGTACCTATGCAGCCGCGGAAGACTTAACGGGTTGCCGGCTCAGGTTTGAAGGGCAGGAGTAGGAACAGGGTGGTTTTTAGTCAGTAAGAGTCTGACATTCCCTCCCGCCTCATGTAGGCGGGAAAAGTAATTCGATGCCCTTCCCCCCTTAAAAAAAATTATCTATACAAATGTAAGTAAAATGCCTTTTGCCCAACTTGTGAAAGCGCCACCTACTGTCATCAGATATTTTTGGCAGAATTACTAATACCTCAGTTTTGTAGACAGATATCAAATGATTATTATTGTAGTACTATTTGTTCCATTGTTTACGATATACCAACCTAACTATATGAATTATCTACATTTTATATCGACGACTTATCGCTCAAAGATTTTCCACTCGCGAGTGACTTAAGCGCGCTTTTCAGCTGTCACTATGCCAATTTATCATTAATATCAAAACCGAATATATCCAGTTTGAAATATAAGATCGTGAAAAAATAAAACTTTTCATTCTTATGAATGTTTGTTTTCGAAATGATAAAAATATTTTTGTTGTTAGGTTTATCAAAGCAATTTTCAAAATAAGTTTTAATTTGTCTCTAGATACAAATATTATCTAAGTTGGTAAATGTATTTATATACATAATATTTCAAAAGAAATGAAATAATATTTCAAAACATTTAGTAAAATGGTTGTTCTAAGTAACTGTTCTATGTGCCTACTCTTGTACTTATTACATAGCTTTACAAAGTCTATATCAGCTACAATCCTGTCATCAGAATATTTCAAAATGTTATCTAAAAGAGTACAAAAGTATTCTAGAGTTGCCATTATAGCAGATTTAAAAACAAAAGCTGACTGTACCTTTTACCTACTTGTATAACTTTGAAAGTTCGTTGACATTCAAGGTTTTAAAAACATAATAATTTAAGAATTGCACAAGCACTTAACAAGTAATTACTTTGAATCACCTCTATTTGCCAAATGAAGCACGTAATATGTTTTTTTCTTTCAATTTACTCATAAACCCTTTTTTGATGTAATCGGATCAAAGGACCAATATGGTCATTTTTATTTCACGTTGCATAACTTCAACCGCACAGATTATTATAATTATCTATGATTTATGAGCTATCATTAATTCAGTTTCCCGAAGGACCAGACACGTTAAATAAAATTGATATTATGGTCTGTTACTATATGCTAGGTCATGGCTACCCACGGCTATTCACGGCCATGTCTGTATTTAATGGGTACTACAGACATCTGAAATGTTAGTGCTTTACCTTTATTTTCTTCTCTGTTGTTATATAACCCGGATATGTAGGTAGATATCCTATAGTACAATACCCTTATCATTTTATTCGCTAATTAAAGGTATTTTGTTTCAATTCAATAAGCAGTTGGTTTATTAACTGTTATCGGGTAAAGGAATGACAGAGTGAATGATTGGCGTAGGTAGTGTTTGATTAACCGACTGATGTGCTGCCTCCGGCTTAAGATTTCAGTATATCTATGCGCATAACAAATATATTTATGGTTAACATTGAAAAGTCCAATAACGTTAGTTGGAGATCAAAACCTAAATAAAATATTTTAGTAGGTAATCCATAAATGTCCAAGGTATTAATCCACCTTATGCAAAAAAAAAAATGTGCATAAAGTATTAAAAAAACAACTATTACGGTAATCACAATTCTCTTTTCCTTTCTGTAATTCTGTTGTAAACAATTCTACGTAGGTAGGTCTAAGTACGAAAGCTATAAAAGGTATAACAAAATACACCATTAAGGATTCTTTCATGGATGAAATGTTCTCGTTTATATTCTCACGTCGTCGGCTACACCTGCAGTATCGAACAATCGGCCCCCAAGGTAACTAGAAGGAGGATATACCTAGTTACTGTTCAGGACACAAGAGGGGAATGAGGATTGATTATAAATTTACATGATATGGTATGATGACATGTTGTGACACTTTAGTCTAGAGGTATAGACTAATGCAAGCAGATATGTTTTGAGCAAATTCATTTTTCATTCATTCAGGCCCGTCCGTATGGCGTCAGAGTCGAATAGGCATTTGTCATCAGCTCTCTTTAATAAGTTAAACCTTTTCTCCGATATTCAAGTCGTCTGCTAAGCTTGTTATGACAAACCCCTCTTTTGTAGAGGATGGTCTTTAGTAATACAGACACTAGCAATCAGTTCTCAATCTGTACGCCAAAATTTAATCTGCGAAATTCAGTTTTCGCATTAATAAAATGTCTATTATTCTACCACAACCATAGTATAAAGAACACAGTAGGTTATCTAAGGCCGCCCGCCGAGTTATTAGCCTACTCTTGCGTTGATCCCCAGGGTTGTCACTTTTACTTTTAGTTAATATTTTCGAACAAGCAGCACTTGATCTAAATTTATGAAATGAAAAGCATATTATGATTGAATATTTTATCAATTTATAAATTTAGTAAAAATAAAAAGCTTATAAAAAGATTATTAACTTCTTAAAATAAACTTTAGCTCTATACATAGTATTCAGAAAGTAAATTTGGGAATACATTTATATGGAAAAATGCGACTCGGCCACGCTCTTAACAAATCAGATAAACTGTGAAATAAACAATACAATACCACATTTTCTTATAATATTTAAGTATAGTAGGTAATTACATTTCTGGTTGAGTAGGAACTATGAAGAATGATAAGAGTAAGAATAAGTAAGTAGGTATCTCATCATCAAGTACCTACAAATTATATTATGCTAGAAAAAGTGACTAGCTTACCTTTCCTGTTCAATAGGTAATCTGAACAGAGACAGTTCTGGAATCGATTAATTATTAAGACACCCAAACACACAGCAATACGTTCTTCTACGATTATCAGACATTTTTTATTTCATTTAACAGTGCCGAAAAGTGATGCGCGCGCGAACCTCGTGCAGTGTTAGCCCTGCCTGGCGCACTGAGAAACGGGTCGAGATTTTGTTAAAGTGTGCGTGCGTCGACGCATAGATACTATGGCGCACACATATAAGCCGCGCGCGGAGCATTTGTATGAAGATAACCTACTTTGTTCTTTATACTATGCCACAACCCTAACTCGTGCATATAAATACATACGTACATTTAATTAAAAACGTTCTGTTATGTCTGTTCAGTTCTGTATAGACATTTAATTAAACAAATGCTTGCCTTGCCATATAAGAAATGCGTCACAACCCACCACTGAAAGTATGCAAAACAAATGTATAGGACCTCGCCCCCGAGGTCGGATTCACAATTCGTCTGTTTTGTATCTGTAGTTTTTGTAACAAACAAGTCATTTATTTCTCGAAAAGACGGACATAGGTAGGTATATAGATATTTTTACATCTAAGGTCTATCTTTTCGATTTCCGTGGTCCCATGTACTTAATAGAAATGAACTTTATGGAAAACTGTCAATTTTCACCCTTAAAACCAATGCCATAGGTAGGTACTTTGCCTGACCTAGGCGTAAAACGCTTGACCACTCGACCAATGCGGTCGTTGTTTTGGTGTTAATTCACGTTCAGACTTTCAAAAATCTGTTGCATTTTATATTAGGCCATTTTAAACCAGAAATACATTGATATTACATGTGAATAAGTTGACCAGGGTGACGGAAGTAGATATTTATAATTATAAGGACAAACTATGCGAACTCAATTTGCAAAGGTCAAGTGCAATTCTAACAGGTTGTATTCAACTGGTGTTATATAAATTGTGTACATAAAACAGAATTGCATAGGGTACATTTTTGCATGAAGTAGGTACCTGCTATTTACCTTTAATTGTTCAATTAGTCTTACGTAATAACAATAGCAATTATTTCGGTAACACGATGGTATTGACGGTATTTCTATAAATCGAGAAATGTGTAACCACTATAACTTTATAGTTATAAATTTCCTATTATTCAGGCCCTGATAACTCGTACCTATATTGTCCATTGTTATTTGTTATTCAGAATTGCACTGATAATGCAATCTTACCAAAGGAACAGCTGGTTAGTAATAGCTCGCAGATTTCTAAATGAAAATCTAATTCTATCGAACGGTAATTTCAAATCACTTCTCATTGCTATCTATTTTATTTTTACAGCTGATTCACGCTGTTGTCGTTAGATGGTCGAAGTAAACACTTAGGTAGGTTTATATGACTGATGTGAAAAACTAGTTACTTCATTCAGTGTGTAGGTAAATATAGGATTAAGTAGGTATAAAGTACGAATATTGTATTTTGCTGGTGATTTATCAAAGGTTACAATGTTTATGTTATCATTTTTTACCGTGCTATTATCAGTGTGAAACAACAAGTCCAACGTGTTGAGTGTTCACAGTTACATAACATTGTTTGTTACAGTTACCTCGTGTCCGGCGATGCGGACGGAAAGTGTTACATTTGGGACTGGAAGACTACGAAACTGTACAAGAAATGGAAGGCGCACGACGGCGTGTGTATCACATCGCTGTGGCACCCACACGAGCCCAGCAAGCTGCTCACGGCGGGCTGGGACGGCGTCATCAAATACTGGGATTAAATAAAATGACTGACTTCCTTGATACCACGTTTTAATTTCAACCTAACATGAACCATGAACCGCAATAGAATAACAATAAAATAGAAACATACATTTTCAATAGCTTACATATTCTTTCTTTATATTATATATTTTTTTAATTATAACAAGCGACCAATGTCATGGTTTCGGCGGGGTCATGTCAAGGTCAACTTACGCGACTTGCGTGTACTTGAAGCTTGGCTCCTCGTACGCAATGTCAACCTTGTACTCCATGCTGCACTCGCGGCATGTGCCATTCTTCATAAACTCGTTGAAACTTATATTGTTCTCATGGAATGCTTCTGTTAGGGCTGTGACCAGACTATCGATCATCTCCGTACTGTGGTAGGGGCCAGGCGCGAACCTCAGTCGCTCCTCCCCTCTTGCCACCGTCGGGTAGTTGATGGCCTGTACGTAATGACCCCTCTTCATCAAAGACTCGGCGACGGCGGCCACTTTATCGGCGCCCGTTATAGGTACAGGTACAATGTGACTGACTGACGGCATTTGTGGCAGCCCTGCCACAAGAAGCGACAGCTTCAGGTATCGCACAATAGCTTGGTGCTTAGCTCGCAAGCTTCTGCCTTCTTCACTTGCGAGAAGTCTGATGGCGGCTAGCGACCCCGCCAGTACAGGCGGCGGTAGCGCCGTGGTGAATATGAAGCCAGGGGCTAGGGATCTCACTGTGTCTACCAATAGAGAAGACCCAGCAATGTAGCCCCCAACATTACCAAATGCTTTCCCCAATGTTCCGGATACTATGTCTATCTTGTGCTGTATCCCTCTCTCTTCCCCTATACCGGCACCATGTTTCCCATACAAGCCTACAGCATGGACTTCATCAACAAATGTCAGAGCACCATACTCGTGGGCTATGTTACACATTTCATCCAGCGGACATATCGCTCCACTCATGGAGTGGACAGTCTCAAACACGACTAGCTTGGGTACACCTTCCGGTGATTGAGATAGTAACTCTCTCAAGTGATTTGGATCATTATGTCTAAATATTTGCTTTGGTGCTCGACTGTTTCTTATTCCCTGTATCATAGAGGCATGGTTCCCAGCATCAGAAAATATTAAGCAGCCAGGTAGAATTTTAGCTAAGGTAGACAATGTTGCATCATTAGCAACAAAACATGAACTAAATATTAAGGCTGCAGGTTTCTTATGCAGATGAGCTATTTCGGCTTCAAGTTTTTCTGTCATCTGAGAATTTCCGGCAATGTTCCTGGTGCCTCCAGCTCCAGTACCATAGGCTTTAATAGCATTAATAGCAGCATCTTGAACAACAGGGTGACGAGAGGCACCGAGGTAGTCATTGGCGCACCAAACGGTAACACGATGGTTGTCGGGGCCTTCCAGAGCCTGCGGGTACACGCCTTCCGCTGCTAACCGGGACACCTTCCTGAAGATGCGGTATGAGTAGTCCCTCTTCTTGGCACTGATCTGCTCATGGAAGAACTTCTCATAGTGGTACGACTGCGCGGGCTCGGTGATGTCTTCCGTCATCTCCTTGGGTGCCTCAGATATTCCCACATTTTGCTGGATGAAGGGGCACTTGGTTTCATCGACGCCCAGAGAGCGGAATCCTCGAGTAATTATTGGGCAGTAGTTTCCGTATTGTTTCATAAGAGTTGCTCCGTAATTCTTTACGAAGGCTTGGTTCAACGATCCTAAGAACGGGCAGCGCATTTTTACTTTTTATGTAATCAATGACACACCAAACACTTGCGACACTATTGGGTATTTTAATAATATTATACGAGATTTGGGCATGAACGTTGGCTCGCACTGTAGCCGAACGTCTCACAGTATTCAGTCAACTGGTTGTACGCCGCACAAAACCTTTCATTTATAAAGTTGGTGTCGTCATATCGATTACGTTTGAAACTTCATTCACTTCACTGCGAATTTTATTATGATTTCGCAAGAATAATGTTGCTACACTAACGTTAAGTTGACAGTTCGTTTAAATTGCCATTGCAATAAATATTTTTCTTTTTAAAAGATTCAAATGTAATATTTAATTTATTTTCAGCCATTCAATCAACGGGCAATTATTTTGAAGGCAACAGTGTAAATAAAATAATCATCATTTATCATTTAAGATTAAACTATTTTTTTTCACAAATTCATCATTCATTTTTTTTAAATATTAAACAAATTCATGTAATGTTTCTTAAATGGCAACCGAGTATTACCATAATATAAAAAGTCAGCTGATATTGAGCACTATGGATTTTCCAATGATAAATTGACACAATTTGTCATCTTACCTACCTGACATTTGTCTGATTCATTGTCATGTCAAACTTCAAAATTTTATCAACATCGTGAACTTCTGTGAATTTTAAAAGGAAAAATGTTTTCATTACAAAACCAGTTGGAATTACGGAAAGTAACAATATCTAGTTTAATAACATGCATATATTTGCCAAGTATAATCACAGTAATATCGTATAAAGGCATCCTTTATTCAGTGGGCAATGGATCATCTTGTTTCGTTTTGGCTTTAATTTTCGTCGCCGAATTGTTGAAGTCATTTTACCTGAACTCTAGTAGCGATGCACAAGCGAAAAAGAACAAGGCCAATAAGAACATCGCGGGGGATATCTTGAGAGGCTTTGTATTCCTGTTATGTGTAAAGTTTACGTTTTTCGTCGGCATAATATTGTTTGGAGCGCCTGTGCTTGATTGTCACGAGGAGACATTGATGCTGTCGTTGTTACTCACATTACTAACAGTGTTCCCTCTGTTACTGCACACTGGAGTCGAGTCATCACTACAGTTGCTATTTGGAATCAGAAATTATGGAAAGAACACTGTGATTGAGATGTTAGTCAACAATGCCCTGTTGACAGTTTGTGGAGCGTGGGTGGGGGCTGTGGTCATTCCCTTAGACTGGAACACACCCTGGCAGAAGTGGCCAATACCATGTTACCTTGGCGCAGTGGGAGGATTCCTGCTATCAAATGTACTGACAGTATTAAAAGTAACACTAATGAGCTCTGCACAGAAATATCCCATATTAAACATTTTTGTACAAATACTGAACGGGTTTCAAGTATCCAAGTAATTATTAAATTGTTATAATTTATATGTATTGACTAAATAAGTTATTAAAATTAAAGTATTATTGTTTTGAAATGTTGTGTTTTATTTTATTTTTAGAATTTGTGTTAAAACCAGGCTACTTCAAATCAAGGTTCTGTTAAGTAAAGGTTACCATATTATCTTTCTGCTGTTTGTATAAATAAACTGAGATCCTCCTGTTTCTATTGTGATAGTCTGCTACAAATGATTAATGACTAAATATTCATATTTTAATTTTCTTAGATGGTTTTCAAAATCATAATCATTTTTAAATAAAAAGTTCATATGCTATCCTTATGGGAAATGAGGTCAAATGTAGTTAGCATGTCTCCTTTCCAAAATACCCGTTTGAAATTTGAGTCTCTATTCCAACTCCCAGCATTTCTTAAATGCAGGTTGAAGATTTTATATGTGGGCCCATTTAACCCAAGGTCACTTCTACCACGGAATATAGAATACACTTCTACTCTGTCTTTCGATTTTTAAATCTATCATTACAGGAGTCTGTTTAGGGGGTTCGAAAATTTCGTCATTTTATGACTAAGATTATTTGAAACTTAATAAAACTAAACTACAAAAAAATTGCTGAAAAATTTTATATTATCTCCTGATAGAGGGTGCAAATGTACTCCCAGAAATGATCTCTAATTTATTGCTTGCTGGTTGTTTTAGGAAGATAAAGTAGTTTTTTTGGCATGCAGTGGCATGCACTGAACAGAGTTTTGGCTGTATGATGGAATTAATTACCTACTATCCAATTTAATTTTATTAGAGCAGTAAAGGACCCTTTTTTATAACGCGATGGAAATCCTCATGGACTTCCTATGCCGTGGGCACGACGGAAGGGCGTGTCGGACTCTTACCGGCTAAAACCACCGCAGTGTTCTTCCTCTGCCTGTGGCCCTGCGTGACCCGGGACGTCCTTACGGCTTCACCGCACCCGGTAGGCCTCGACCTATATTGCCCACCACCAACCCTCGAAAGCTGCGATTTCCTTCCTCGAGTGGCGAGCGTGGAACAACGTTAACGCCTACGCCTACTCCCATTCATACAGCGGACGACTGACTCCCCTAATCAGTCGCCCGCAGGTCTCTCCTATGGACGTCGCAGATCAACCTCGCGGTGTTGACTGCCGGCGTGTCTACGGCGGGAAGGGAGGGAGCCGGACGCCTCCTTTGCCAACATGACACGTTCACAGAAGGAAGTGACTCCATCCCATGCACTCTCACTGTCAACCATAGCTCGTACTTTTTAGATTTTTAAGAGATTATTCCCGCTGAGCACTGTAATGAGTTCACGACGCAGCTCTGCCCATGTAGAACACTCCTCGAGCGTATGCCGCGCCGTATCCTCCAAATTGTCGTTACAGTGATGACACGCCGACGTCTGCTCCCGGCCTATACGACACAAGTACGTCCCGAAGCAGCCGTGTCCGGAAAGGACCTGTGTCAACCGGAAGCTTGGCAGTTAAAGGACCTGAATTTGGTCGCTCATACCTTTATGTGCGCTATAATAAAACTGTTTGGAATTGAATATTAGAAGGTAACAATAAAACGATCGTTTAGTAAATTAATAATTTTATTTTGTATTTGTTAAATATTTACATAGCCTATTTAATGCTCTATTTTTAATAAAATATGAAACTTAACCAACATTCGCTTGATCACATACTTTTGTTTAAATAACTCCTATAATATATTTAGTTAGCGTTACGTTTTTTCACAAGTGTTTAACAGCAATAGACTTAGCAACGTAAAGATACTCGACATACAACATAACAATAGTTAACACATCTAAGGCCTTTGTTTACTCTCAGGTTCTCTAGTGCTCGAATTTAAAAATAATCACGATTTTATAATAAGTAGAACGGTTATAATAATCTCTTCAACATGAAACCATTGCATTCATTTCCAGTCATTTGCTTTTTCTTTTGCAAACGAATAGAAATGTAAGCAATGTTTAATTTTCACGCAATTTTCGTTTTGCTTGCGATAAAGAGGAATATGTTCTATTTGAATGCACCACTCACTCCAAAGGAGTCTTTCTACATACTACATTACGTTTGCCGGAGAAGAGACGGTATTTTAACGCCATCTAGTGGTTCATTGCACAACAATTCCTCTTTATCGCATTTTTGATCATACTACCCTACATCTTAACACACCATCACGATACATCACACAGCTCTACATTGCTTTATAATTGTCGATTAATATTGAATGCTAACATACTCTGCAGAAAGATCACTTACAAATTTAACTGTAGGTATATTAAAAATTGCAATTTTGCACTCACACAAACAACACGCAAACGATTCATACACATTTACTTCTAACCCCGCAAATCAGTCGTTTCCTTAGGTCAGTTGCGGAATGCGGTAGAATGTTATCTTTAGACCTTTGCATCACGATACTGACAAGCACATCTCATAGACAATTTGGAATAACAACTTTATTGCTTAGGTAATATGATGCATAGCATAACACAGACGTGGTCGACTGAATATGAAACATTGAAACTAGCAACATGGGCGGTTACATTTAAAAATTCAACCAACTTAGTTTAGAGGGACCTTACATTTATAATATAGCAAATATCTTGACCGCTTACACATATCTTGAAGAACATTTCTCTCAGGCAAAGACCTTAAGTATATCGGTACTAATAAACATTTAAAAATTGTTTCGAACAGGTGGCACAATAGTTACGGACAAAATAATTTTAGACTTTATTTATTGTACACTTTGACTAAGAAAGAAAAAATCGTTCCACGAAACACCTTTGCCGATAACAGTTAAACTACGTGATAGATAAATATAAATATACAAATGTTATATTTTCTCCTATTTCTAGAATAACAACAGCATTTTATAACAATATAGAAAGTCAATATATGAGGTAATTGGCAAAATCTCTACTCGATTACAATCCATACAACCTACTTCACTCACAATGATCTACACAGTTTCGTGGAACGAGTAACCAGTTATAAAATGTTCTAAGTTTATAAAAATATGTTTAAAGTTTAGATGCATCAATATCCAAGGCTACGTTCATTCGGTGATCCCTACGGCACGTCGAGGCGTGTCGCAATGCCGCTACATGCGAGTGGCAGTGTTTTATATTTAAAGGTTGGCAACACTACTATGACAGTACCGCCAACTTTTAACAGTCCTTTCAAAAATTTACTCCGGCACGTAACATGGCCAGATTTTGTCATAGTGGAGGTTTAGTTAGCGCATTGTGTATTTTCTGATTATTTTATGGTTATTGCCATAATCTACATAGGTAGCGTATATCATAGCTACTTGGAAGTAAAGTTAGGGTAAGAATGAGAAATATAATTTTTAATAAAAGGTAAAGGTAGAAATAATATGAAAATACACATTGTGCGAGCTTATCCGTTCTCTGACAAAATCCTGCCATGTTTGGTGCTGGTTGGGTAGTATTGAAAGTTCCTATTTAGTAGTTGGCGACAAGCCATTAGAACCAATTCACACGACTACTTCTACACTGAAATCTCACGTGTCCTGAGAGAGTGAGTTTGTACTAATCTGGGCTCTGATAGACCTTCCTTAGTATGGCCGCTTAGCGACCACATATCGATATGTTAAAGCAGCAATTAAATCTTTGCAATAGGCCGAAAAATGTGCAGCGTAGCGTTCTTGTTAACGTGCCAATTAAAACATGGATGACAATAACTCAAGTACAAACTCACTTTCACATTTGGCGTTTTATCAAAATCTACAATACCGTAGTGCGAGACGAGTGAATGTTTCCGCAAAAATCTTTAACAGCGTACGTATTTACATTACTCTAACATTATGTACCATTATTAAGCCTATATTAAAATCTATTTATGTAAAAAATTAAAATCTCAATATGCAAAAATTATCAAGCACCTTTATGTAAAAATTAATTGTTAAATATCTAAATTTAGAGAAAGGGTTTGTTATATTTTAATTTTCCTAACTGATACCAAATCTACGCTGTATGAGACAACTCTTTTCTATATTAAAAAATAACATTTTCCTCACTACTCACTAAACGAATACCCTGTCGCTTGAACAGTGAAGTTTCAGAGAATGGGGGCCGTGGGAAGAATATGTAGTGAACTACTAAGGTAAACATGGAGACCAGCAGACCAGCTAGATGCAAGCTCACTCTGCAAGTGGAAGTGTCTCATCAACAGAACCAGCAGGAAGGCGGGTAACGCAGGGAATTAGCTTGTATTCGTCCGTTTCTAAAAGGTCACAATGGAGTGCAAATTCCAACAGCTTTTCTACACTGGATCATTCAAAATTCACCCACAAACCACTCATGAGCATAGTCAGCATCAAGATTATAAAGTAGGAAGGTATACATTAATAAAATGACAGTTTCGTCTATTACTTTTACATAAAAATATAATATAGGTACAAAAAATAGCACACATTGTAACGTTCACAACTAAATACATAGACAAAATATAAAAACGTCTAAGTACTTTCATAGGTGGTTTAGATATAACGGGGTTGCAAGAGTTAAAAATACAGACGTAATAAGAACATCTAACAATCGATAATATGTCTTATATCAATTATTACAATTAAATAATATAAAATGCACCGCTAATACTAGATTACAAGATAATATATTCTCAACAATTTTAACTTTTCTTGTACTTTTTATTCACTGTCCGATTTATTTTAGAGTTGGTTCCATTCATGATGGTTCTTTGGTAAATTGAGTACTTAATGTACATTTTACAGTAGAAATGGGGTTTAACCGAGTCGTCATACCTTCTATACTTTTGGCGTATTCTAACATCTAAGTCTTACGATCATTCGAATTTCTGGACCCAACAGTTATTTGATATGTCACTGATAGGAATCTGTAATTTACATTACTCACAATACATTTTATCCTACGCCAAAATCTTTCGACACAATGGTTAATTTTATTGAAATCGTCAATTTTATGATATTTTCTTGATAACGAGATTCGTTACAAATGCAGTTCGATCAGACAGTGAATGAAAAGTCCACAAAAATACTATAACAGCGGCCTAAAAACGAGTCACCGTTTTTCATAATCAAACGGTCACTCGGATTCGAATTGCAGTGTTGCCAGCATATCTTTGTGAAATCCTACTAATCATTATAAAAATTGTAAGCAAACTTTTATTTTGCGCCGATTTATTATTTAGTAACACTATTCATGTACAGGCGCATTTTTTAGGTTAAAACGACATCTAAGTACGTAGTCCTAAGACACACTTTTAAATGATCTATGTTTCTAGCAATATTTATAGTACCAAAGTACGTATATTTATTGCTTGGAACGCAGTTGTCCAGCGAGACGCGAATGACAGTCGAAATCCTTCGTCGTATGGACACAGAGAGATGTTGGCAACCGGCCCGGAACATGTAACAACGATCTGAACGTATAGCTAAAGGAGTGAATGCTGCGTCTTACGTATTGTTCGTGTCCGGCTGGAAGTAATGGAGACCGTTTATCTGGAAAAATAATTAATAGTAAAGTTACACAAGAGTTACGTATTTCTTTAACACGTTAAACGCCATGGGGGTCGCCGGTGACCGGCGTTAGCGGAGGATTTGCCTTCAACAGCTTTTTTATTGGTAGTCAAAGTCTTAAGTAAAACGAAAACAAAATTGATAGATTACTTTACAGACGTTTTTGGCAATAATGAGTATCTCGAAGGACCAGTCTATCATCATACATCTTTCGACATGAAATTCAACTCAAACATTTTCAAACTCACGCATTTTGATGTAGCTGGACGCCCAATCCCTCAAGAAAGCCCGGTAACCCACTTACAAGTCTTCTAGTGTTACAGGTGTTTAAGAGCCGAGCTGATTGCTTACCATCAGGTGATCCATCTGTTTGAATAGTATTTCAACTCTCATAACATCACGCTTTTTATCCCCTAAAAGGTAGGTGGAGGTGCACATTACGGCACTTAATGCCACTGTAAAATGTAACACACTTTTCACTATTTATGTTATGAGTCCCATGTAATAGGGGATGAGCCTATTGCCAAAAACCGGGCACAATTCTAGACTCCGTGCTACCACTGAGATTTTTTTTAAAAAACCTCGTAGTTCTTTGCTCGATCCGGGACTCCCGGATCGATCGGGGGTCGAATCCGAGACCCCTTGCCCGGCAGTCGCACTTGCAACCACTCGCCCAACGAGGCAGTTTCAACTCTCAAATAATAATTTAATAGATAACCTACCGTCATATCGTATTCCGTGACGAAAGCTGGTACATCGAGTTGGTCTCTCGCCATCACAGAGTACAAGTATTCGACTCCAGGAAGATTGTGTACTTTCGCCTTAATCGCTGGCGCCATAAATGTCGTGAACCACCACGTCATCATCTGAAAACATTTAGTTCATATTTGTATTGTAACTTTCGTGAGACATACTAAATAAATTCATCCAGTAGCAGCGCATCAGTCGCCACGTCGCGGGTCGCGAAATGTTGCTCATGAAGATGAGCCTCTAGCATGGCTTGAAACTAGTCGAGTTCCTCGTCAAACTATTACGTGAATAAGACGAAAACATAATAATACATTTAGTTCATCTTTAGATGTGAAGTGAAGATTTTATTGTTTTTCCAACAGGTGTCTTTCCAGTCTGTTTGCGTGAAATTTGATGTGTATGTGCGAAATTTTTATGTTCAAATACTAGTTCTTTCGTTACTCTTAATAAGTTGGTATAATATTTTATTTACCTTTGTCCAGAATGTGGGATGTACAATGTAGAATGCTTTGAGGTTCTTCTTATATCTGAAAAGTAGATTAAAATATAGATTAAAGAACGTAGGTACCAATAGCAACGTAGAAACATAATGCCATGCTTTTTTATTACCCGAAACGTACACATAATCTCTGTTTTTCGCCATATTTAAATTCATGTAATGAGGGGTGAGCCTATGGCTTATCGTCATACGCCAGACACAATTCCAGACCCTGAGACCTAATGAGAATCAAGGCTGTCAAGGAAAAGTGCCTAAAGTAGTAAGAATGTAGCAGAAACAGTAGAGTACATACTTGTAAGGCAGCACGGTGTACACTTCTTTGAGCCAGGAGAAGGGCGGGTGGTTGGCGGAGGAGGCGAGTGTGTGGAAGTACGCGATCACGTAGTCCCCGCGCACTATGGGGTCCAGCAGCTTGATCAGGTATAGGAGAGCCTGAAACATGAGGACATATTAGTTAGAAGTGAGCCGAGTACGATTTGATTCCTTCAGACATGAAATGGGTACTACTGAACTTGAAAAAAAAACATTAGTAGAAATTTTAAGATCTTGGAAGGAATCTACCAAGGTAGGTATATGGATAAGCGAAAACATAGTTCATCCTCCTAGAAGAGTATTGTTTTTCTGAGCCCACTGTTTAAATAACATTAAATACTCTTCTGAACTGTCAAAACCTGTCTTAACACGTTAAGCGCAATGGGGACAGCATGTGGGCCACGATAGCAGAGGATTTGCCATTAACAGTTTTGTGTCGTCTGTCAAAGGTTGCACAGCGCTGGTGCAGGACCTCTTGTCTGTCGATATATGAGCCACAATAGAGAACACATTGTGTCTCGCGTAGATCTGCGTTCCGACTGACTGACTGACTGACAGTTAAAAAAAATATATGAAAATATAAAGCAAATGCTCACCTTGTCCAAATCAATATCTCCAATAGGGAACCACTTCCCGATGAAGACGACGACGGGTCTGCCGAGCCTGTCCACTCCGCTCTGGTACAGACAGCCTATGCCTGAGATCTCACTGAGATCCTCTGTGCGCGCGCGACGGAGAAGCCGTTCATATCTGAGGAAGAAAGTGAGAGGATCTTTTAGTATGATCGATATTGGAGAAAAATCTGGAGTTTACATTTTTGTCCAAAATGGTGTTATGAACAAACACGCATTGTATTCTGCATTTTTACTGAAAATGTCTAATTGAAAAAGTCAATTTCATATTATCAGACACATACACATTACTTTAATCGAACTTTTAGTTCTTAAAATATTTCACACAGCACGATAAACTCCAAAGAAAATGGAGCCCCAATATAAATCTCCCACAATATTTATTCACGTTTCTGATTGATTTAAATCAGACTTTCAAAGAAAATCAATGGGAAAAGTTCAACACACTTATATTCCTTTTATCATATATCGCATCAAATCGATTTCAATGCAAAAATAATAAACAGATCCATTCTACTGAAGTATTTATTTTAATTCAATGCTTGCGTCTTGCCCTTGGCCTAAAATTTTCCTGTAAAACGACCAGTGTTGACTGAACTATACTCCTGAAACTTTTTGACGGTGTTCAATGCCTGTGTATAATGGTGGTACGAGCAAACAGGTCTATTTTGAGCTGCGCTATCCATCAATGACGTAGAAGAAGTATTAGAACGTAGAACTACCGAATATCGGAAAGAATATGTCGGAGTTTTTGCGTATCATTTTGTACTTTATAGCATTCATAATACAATTTTGTTTGGCGTTGACCACTGGAACACCAAAGAGTTACAAGTGCGTTAGGTTACCAGCTTTTTGGGGATTAGGAGTTTGAGGATCGTTAGGCATTCAGGGATTGGGGAGATTGGGGAAGGGGAGATGGGTAATTCTCCTAGAGCCGGCCCATTCGTGCCGAAGCATGGCTCTCCCACACTTAAGGTTCAAATATTGTCGGTTCATAATATATATAATATCTGACCTTATATTAAATATGCATCATAATCTCTACTAGAAATTATCTCTAAAGCCCTTTACGTAGCAATTTTGCGCATTAAATTTTAAATCGCGTGCTTCTGTCAGTAATTGGCAACACAAATCAGGAACAATACTTACTTCGGTTGATCACTATTAATTAGAAGCTAATCTGTTGCATAATTGTTTTGTTTTGTTTAAGAATTGATGCTTAAAATATGCAAGCAACATTGCATAACGTTCCACTTTCTTGAAACTACATTAAAACAGATAAAAAAAATAAACGAATCATAAAGTAAATAATCAAAAACTTCTACATAGATACTAACTTCATAGACAATCAAAATAACACATTAGCACACAAAGATAGAGTTGAAATTCGTGTGCGAAATTGACGTCTTAAAATGTGACTTTGAAAATATGGCTGCGTTAATATTTGTTTTACAATTAAAATATTTTAATTTGCAAACACGTTTGTTCTCGGAACCGCATTGCGGGCACATTTTATTGAGGATTAACCTTGTATGTATTCTAAATACCAAGTGACGATATTAAGGAAGATACAGGTACTTTAGTGTGCGACATTGATAAAAGAATTAATGATAACTGTTTCTGGTTATCGTGGAACCATAGGCATACCTATGAAGCAACATGCCGATTGCTGAAGAAGACAGAAGTAATGACATAACATAACATCACGCCTTTTATCCCCGAAGGGGTAGGCAGAGGTGTACATGATGGCACTGTACAATGTAACACCCACTTTTCACGATTTATGTTATGAGTCCCATGTAATAGGGGGTGAGCCTATTGTCATACACCGGGCACAATTCCAGACTCCGTGCTACTACTGAGAATTTTTTTAAAACCCAGTAATGCTTTGCTCGACCCGGGAATCGAACCCGAGACCCTTTGCCCGGCAGTCGCACTTGCGACCACTCGGCCAACGAGGCAGTCAGGCAGACAGGCAGACAGAAGTAATGCTCATTCATTTTAGGCTCCTGTTTCTGTTATATATAGTACTAGCGGACCCGACAGACGTTGTCCTGCATATAATATAATAATAGGTGTAGATAAATAACCTACCAGCGCCATCTACCGGGCTGATTTGTGAATTTAAACCATTCCCAGATCCCCTTGAACACACACAAAAAATTTCATCAAAATCGGTCCAGTCGTTTGAGAGAAGTTCACTGACATACACACTCACAGAAGAATTATATATATAAAGATGAGTCTCACGTAATAGGTACTTCATAGACTTCATAGAGCTATATTGAACTGAATACATTTTTAAACTTTAACCAAACCAATAAACTTGCAATTACTTGAAAAACGAAGCATTCAAGTCTTTTTCTTCTTAAACAATATAATATTACCGACATTTACGTACAAGGGCATTCACCTTTCCACAAAACCCTTCCCAAAGAAAATGGTGAACATTATTCATACGCCGCGAAGAAAAGAAACTTTCCCTTGTGCCTACGTCACAAAAATCATGATTAATCGACATTCTTAGTTCTATTAATAAGAAAATATTTTTAGACCGACCTATGTACTTGTTGCAATCAATGAATCATGTACGGTTACTCATCAACCTGTACATATATACTCCAGTATATCATGGTCTTGTTTATTATGATCGCTCCACATATTCTAAGGTCAATTTATTCTGGTATTTTATTATATAGGGATGCGTATATAGCCGCGTGTACTATGCTTTGTTTGAACGCATGGTGCCTCGTTTGTGTGTGTTATATTTATATTGAGTTGTTCCATTTCCGTACACGTGGGTTAGTAGAGGAATAGTTAATGCGTGTGACGTCTTACATTCATTGACGCTGTGGCGATGGTTTTGTGATAGGAATTATTAATTAACTAGCTTTTACCCGCGGCTTCGCTCGCGTCACAAAAGGATAAAAAGTAGCACATATACCAATACACACAGCGCCATCTATACCAACACTTTTGTTTTCAATAGGGAATATCAAATTTTTCCGGGATAAAAAGTACCCTATTATTTAATCCGGACTTCTACCTTTACGTCTGCAAAAATTCAAAGCAATCGGTTTAGTAGTTACGGCGTGAAAGCGGAACAAAGAAACAAATAAACAAACAAACTCACTTTCCGATTTATAATATCAGGAAGGATAAGGATGTTCATTTTGGGTATATTTTGGTTTTGACTCTCCAATTGTCGGCTGAACATGGAGTTTGTTGGCAATGGCAAACCTTCTTATATAGAAGAAGGTCCATAGACTAGTAGTCTGTGACGAGTTGTTGATGTTGTTGTTACTCCGCGATCAGAGTGCTAAGCACGAATTACTATCGCATCCGTAACGTAATACATAGTATTGAGCGCGTTCGGCGCTTTGATTGGCCGGCGCCAATGAATCAACCAATCAGAACGTTTGATACTATAACGTTACGAATGCGATAGTAATTCGGGCTTGACACTCAGTTTCGCCCACGTTACCAGAATAAGAATATTGCGTCGATCAACGTAAAATGGATTCCTTCAATAATACTTTCAAAACATATTTATTTTGATACTTTAGAACGGAATTCGATATAAATAACACTTGCGTGATTTTATTTATGTGCGTTCGAAGTTTGTAGTGCTAAAAATAAATTTCTTGCAGTTAAATTTATATTTGGAGAAAAAGACGTCAATGAGATTCTAAATTAATGCGTCGCGAGAACGATGAACGATGTTGGTTAAAAAAAATATTCAATAGCCACGCAAACTGTACTAAAATGAGGGGTAAGAGGGGTAAAAGAATTAATTTTAAGGACAACTTCTCTTCAACTTGGGTAAATCTTCAGAAATCTTTGAAAACCTACAGGCCTCTATGTAAAACATAACATAACATAGCCTTTTATCCTCGAAGGGATAGGCAGGGGTGCACATTATACCACTGTACAATGTAACACCCACTTTTCACTATTTATGTTATGAGTCCCATGTAATAGGGGGTGAGCCTATTGCCAGATACCGGGCACAGTTCCAGACTCCGTGCTACTACTGAAAATTTTTAAAAAACCCAGTAATACTTTGCCCCACCCGGGAATCGAACCCGAGACCCCGGCAGACGCAATTGCGACTCCTCGGCCAACGAGGCAGTCTATGTAAAACACAGCGTACAATCCAAACAACACAACTATGTAACTAGACAATTGTATTGTGAACCTGATTGAAAAAGAGTAACCTATGGAGTTTCTTGCTCGTTCTTCTCCATAGGAATCTACACCTTAGAATGAGCAAATAGCTTCACTTTAAATTTTTTTTGTTGACGTTCAAAAGTGCCTTTCTGGTCTAATTGAAATAAATGATTTTGACTTTGAAGGTCTGAAAATCGAGCTTAGAAGCGTGCTGACTACAAGAAAAGTGTTACACGCTCATGACTCAGAAAAACAACTCTACTACCAAAGAAATAAAGACGTTTAACATGTATAAAATAGATTTCTACCATTTTTTTTAAAACGTTGTCCCACACTAGGATTATCTCCTGTGTCGTGGGTGCGTTTACAAATATACAAGTTCACATACACATGACACCCAGACCCGAAACAACAATTTGTGGATCACACAAAGTGTTGTTCCGAGCGGGAATCGAACCCGCGACACGTTGCATGGCAGCCGGTTGCCCAGCCACCGCACCAACCGTGCTGTATCGATATCGAGGCAGACCACGCCTTCCTATTGATAAGCCATCATATCAAGCGACTGAACGAGCTCTAATAGAACAGTAACCTTCCTGTTATGTTTTATGGTCAGAATTATGTTTAAGATCGTTTTATGTGGATTTCATGGTCAGTTACTGCTGACCTATATACACTGCTTTAGTAAAACATTTCGTTTTTATTGTATGTATATGTCATCAGCAGCCTATAAACGCCCACTGCTGAGCAAAGCCTCTTCTCACACGGAGAAGGTTAGAGCATTAATCACCACGCTTGCTCAATGCGGGTTGGCGATTCCAAACTTATTATTAGAAATTATAAACCGAGGTTTCCTCACGATGTTTTTCCTCCACCGTTTGTTAGTGGTGTCTAAATAATCTTAGAAAGTACATATAACTCGGAAAAAGTCACATTGGTACTTGCCGTTGGTAGGTTTCGAACCCGCACCCTCATGCATGAGAAGCAGGCGTCTTAAACCTCCGAGCCACCACGACAGTTATATAGTGTTTTTATATGTAACTAGGTTTTATTCGCGGCTATGTCTTTCTCCATACTCCTAACTAGTGGTCGACCAAAGAAAATTTGAATCAAATGTGGCGAATAAATGATTTTTGAAAGTAAAGCAAGTTTACCATGTGATAGTGCCTAGGAGTTCGGAAAGAGATCTAGGTACTTAGGGTTTTATAAGTGCTATATGCTAGAGGTGGCCATGTTAACAACCTCAATGCAACTGGACCAACTAGGTACTAGAATGTTATCGTTTTATCGAAGCAAGTAGGTAGTAGCTTATAGTTATTTGAATATGTTGCGGCGTTTTCGTATAAAGATTGGCAAAGAGTTGAAGTACAAAATACTATACAAAGATAACCGACACACCTTTCACACAACATAATATTCTCCTTAAAAGCGTGATTACTGACTCTACCCTACAAAACTAGGTACAAAACCCTATTTAATCCCGAAGCCAAAGGTAACTACATATTCTAGACTCCTGACCCCACACATCTATTAATAGTAAGTACTAGTGAACATGCGTATTAGGTGCTTCGTTTAGACGCACTGTCCCTGTCGTGACAGATCACAGAGTAGAATATTAGAATATTTCTAACATCTAAGGTACAGGCTCGGCCTAGTTTAGAAGTTAGTATTCATAAACTGTGTGTCCAATGTTTTTGTTACAATAAACACTTTTTATTTTTTATTATTAATACATTTTGTCATTGCCCTTACTCTTCCCGCGGGTCTTATAATAGACGATTAAGAGAATGCACTTTTTTATGGCATAAGTCGGTAAACGAGCAGACGTGGAAATGGTAAGCAATCATGGACACCTGAAACACCAAGGCATTACAAGTGCGTTACAGGCCTTTTCGGAATTGAGAATTTGAGGATTGTGAAGTATTCGGGGATTGGCGACACTGGGGAGGGGGGATAATTGGACCTCCGGTAACCTCACTTACACGACGAAACACAACGCAAGCTTTGTTTCACGTTGGTTTTCTGTGAGGCCGTAGTATCACTTCGGTCGATTTAAAGAAATAAAGGGAATGTGAAGCAGCGCTGTCTAATAAATCCTTTATTACCTTGCAAGCCTTTTTGTTAAATGTAGAGATGGTACCCTCTTATCATGAAGAGGTTTCCTCAGTACTGGGTTGTTGATGACGTAAATAACATCTATTGAGTAATTGCTACTGAACATGCGTATTAAATGCCTCGTTTAGACGCACTATACCGGAGACTTGGTTAATAATCTAGTTGCATCTGGTTGCCAGTGTCAATGCTAAGTGCATTAGTGACGTAGAATGTAAGATACGTTAGTCAGCCTAGCGGAAAAATACTACGATCTTTATTGTGTCCTATGTTAGATCGTATGCTATTTTTTTTAAGGGACAATCCCGCCACAACCTCCCAAAGCCGCTGCAACTCCTGTAAACCAGGATCTACAGTAGATACAACTATGAAAACACCGCAACATTGAAGTCCGGCGCGTCCCAGGGACATGAGCAACTGTCTTGGTTCCCGCAACGAAGTGAATTAGAAGATATTATAAGAGGAGAAGAAGAAAAAACTACAGTTTCCACTTCCCTCGGTGAATTACTGCAGGAGACAGAATGAATTAAGCCTAAAGGCACAAAGAAGAGACTGTACAACTGGGAGAAGCCCAGTCGCCAAGCACCACGGAAATTTGACTAAAAAACTAAGTGGGTCCTATGTGTGAGCTGTTATACTTGCTTCCAATAATAGGTATGGCTAGATCGTATGCTAGAAAAATATTCAAATTAAGTGTATTAATAGGTCTATTCATGTTTGGATCTCAATGTACTCATGCCCCTTTTAAAACCAAGCTCCTCTAAATAGAAACGTCTAAGCTATTTTCAGTGACATTTGACGCCATTTTTCTTTTCACCAACCTTATGTGGTGCTTTACAGAACAAGTAAGCTGTTGGTTTAGATGCTACGTCATGCTAATTGATTTTTTGTTAAGTAGTCGTTTAGGAGTGATTTGTGGAAGGCTATAAGTCGTTTGTGTGTGCGGACTTGTATCATATTTACTTGTATTGCATGACATAACATAACATCACGTCTTTTACCCCCGGTTAATGCCACTGTACCTACAATGTAACACCCACTTTTCACTATTTTATGTTATGAGTCCCATGTAATAGGGGGTGATCCTATTGCTATATACCGGGCACAATTCCAGACTCCGTGCTCCTGCTGAGATTTTTTTTTAATCCTAGAAATACTTTGCCCGACCCGGGAATCGAAACCGAGACCCCTTGCCCGGCAGTCGCACTTGCGACCATTCTGCCAACGAGGCAGTCATTGCATTGCATGCTTGTCAGATATTACCTATTTACACGGAAAATCTTGTTGTCATTAAACACAACATTACTATAGTATGAATAGGTACATTTATTTCTTGTCATGTTATTATCTTAACAGTTTTATTGAATTTATTTAGAAATTGCACCAAATGAAGCAGCAATTTGTTTGCGTTGTCATTTTGACATTTTAAATGTATTGTTATCATTCTTCATTTAATTTTATGGCATTTCTCTTCATGCAAAATTACATATTAAGTATGCATATGCCAAGCACATTCTCTTTTAAAAAGAAATTCTTATTTAAATTATTTTCTCTTTATGAATTAATTAATTTAAATTTAATTACCATAACAGGATAATAAACGTCGAAGTAATTAATACTTAATTTGAATGACACATACATATCTACTATATAATGTATGTAAATGTGATATCTACTGTCGTCTATTTACACTTTGACTATCTTTTATTAGAAATATGACATGTCTATGTCAACAGTAGCGGAACTGGGATTTATAGTCGAAGATAAGATTGATAAGAGTAAACAAGTATGATGTCAGTAAGGAAATATAATATTAACCGACATAAGTAAGGCTAGGAAACTATTCAGCGACATTTTCTTCTAATATTGTATAGAGGGGGAAAAAAGGTCAACTGTTTCTTTGCATCAAACAAGGCTAACGATCAATTAAGAGTTTTAAAAGTTAATATTATGTGGGTACGTCTTAAAAATTCAGTTCTAAAGCAAAGATTAAAATCTGAAAACTCCCAGTTTAAATTCTTAAAGCAGTGTAGCAACACTATTTACTTAGCAGGTCAAGTGCTTTGCAGAGGTTGAATACGTCGTGGAGTATCTCAGAAGTAGTATGGAGTACGACCTCCGACGATGCACTGTGACCCAAGGGGATGGGAGAGAGGTGTGGTGCGGGGTGCGAGTCGTCTGGCGCCGCGCCACCGCGCCGCCCGCCCCATTGAGACCTGACGTCATCGCCTTGGGTACATACCTACTAGGTATACCTACCTATACCGTACATTGTACACCCCACTTAGACGCACTTCTAACAGAGTTAGAACGCGTTTTTATTTGATGCCACCGCTAACCTTTACTTTTATTGTTTTTGGATTCCATTATTTGGTTGCTACCTTGAACTATGGACGTCGTAACTCAAGATTTCGTAGAGGGCGAACCTATTTGCTTTCTATGTTTAATTTTTATAGTCAAATTATTTAAATGGTTTGGTTAAAGAAATGGTTTTGTATTAAATTTCATGCTTCGACTATGATCTACGAATGTCAGATTAAAGAGGTCGTATAACTTTTCTACCTCGAAACCTGTCTACGTCGAAAAAGAAGTACAATTCCCCAAAGAAGCTACACATTTTCCAGTCCTTTTCCTTCGTTTAGGACGCCTCGATATTTAAGATCGTTATATTAAAGTCTTGCTTGTCAAATTACGGACAATAAGACCACATTCAGACTAAGTTTGCAAAGAAATTGTGTACGTGACACGACTCTGGAATCTGCGAGGGTTTAGGCACAATACTCGAGGGTTGGGTACCTTGGGCTACAGGTTTTCATTATTAAGGCTGATGACGGTACATTTATCTTTGTTTAACCCTATTGGAGAAAGGATTAATGGTGTGTTTACTATTATATTCTCGATTTAAAACAAACATACACTCGCCGTTATCAATAATGAGACAAAAATAGCATAATTTTGGATAAATAATTATTTATATTCAGTTGGTTTTCTCTAAGGGATATGATGCTGTCATGTACTATGTCTTCTAAGATAAATTACTACAGTCGATAAAACCTATGAAATATAAGATGTTGTACATATAAGTAAGTACAACGTTGTCGGCTATTTAGTCCACTGAGTTCGATGACGTCACAAATGTGTTTAACGTTTGTTTAACCCGACCTAGCTTTTACGTAAGAAAATGCGAAGATGTAAAAATAAAAACATGAATTGGTAAACCATTTTTATTGCTTTTAGTCTAGACTTTAGTTATGTGCTATTTTACGGTAAACTACCGTGATATATTCAATAAATTCTAAACCTTAATATTACTGCACTAAAGTCCTAAAGAATTTTGACAATTTGTGTTGTAACATTCTCTATTATTATATTACTCTGTGCTCACGATCAGTGTCCCCATTACGTAGAGTTGGGTCAAGTTTAGACGATTATTGGGTTTTCGGGACAATACATTTATAAATATTTTATAAGCTAACTGTATTACACAACGTCAATGGGCTGTTATTCGAAATTAGAAGCGGGAATTTTATATTGCGTTTTAAAAAAATAAATGTATTTTGTTTTGTCTATGGCAGTTTTTTTTCTTTATTTAGAGCGCTGCTAAATAATCTTAAATACTAATTATTTCTTTAGATTCGTTTTCGAACTATGAAAAATCATTTTATTGGTTATTATGCTGTGTTAATTGTGCTTTTTGAGCATTTCGCTTTGAATGTTGACCCAATTTTGAATACTACATTATCATTCATACTGATGCAACTGACGAGTAATAGCTGGCTGTAACAGCTAACATTGACCCAATAAACAAACTGGCTTGATTAATGAATACTATTATGTTGCATCCTATTGGTATTTGTAAATAAAGTTAGATATGGAATATTAAATATCAGTACATTCGGTTCTCATAACAGAATGACAGAAATATTGTTATTAGGAAACAATCGGTTGTGCTGCAATTGAAAAACGTTGTACCTCCAATTTTCATGGTAGCATTTCATGTAAAGTACAAATAAAGTATAAGCCAGCCTTCACCATTTCAAAGAAGAGGCTGAATGTAAAAATCAGAACATTTCTTATAAGTGAAAATGCCTTGGAGATCCAATTAGGAGACCATAAAATATGATGTAACGACATTGTTATCGTAAAAGAGATCCCGTGTTCCCGCCACTTGGCGGCAGACATCTTGAATGTTATGTCAAACACCACAGATTATTTAATGCAACGTGGTCTGAAACTATGTTCATATTTTATGAAGCTGACCAGTTCTCTAACATATGCTATTTTATCTGTTACAATAAAATCGCAGATAAAATGTTTAAAACGTTTTCGACCTAGATCCACGAATGTTCATAAACGATTAAGGTCAAACAAAGAATTTTCTGTTGCAAACATTTTATTTGTATCGGAAAACTCGATTGTAATTGTTTAAAGATATTACGCTCAATAACTGTACTGACAGGCATTCAATGAACAAATCAATAAAGATCTCACTGCATTAGAACAAAGGAAACTCTAATAACCAATAAGAAGTGGAAACCGTGAGATCACCACTCATAAATATCCAAGAAAGTCTTCATCCATACAAATTGCCTTTAACCTACAAGAATTACTTTTTGCATCGTGACAATGTCATATAAAAACTTAACTGCTACATGAAAGCACAATTTTAACAGCTGCCTTAATTAATTAGAGTTTTAATGAGTACCTAAGCGTTAATTGAAATGTCACACTTATTCCTGTAAACAATGAAAACAGTATCAAGTGAAGGAAATGGTTCATCAAGGTTTAAAGAACTAATTAACTTTTGTTTCTGTAGCACTTTAAATAGATGGGACAAAACATCGGGGCTGGGTAATGAAAAGGGATACTAAGAGGATAAGGCGACATAATTAGAATGTAGAGGCCGTTTTTGTCCCCTATTAAAAACTATCAATGATAAAGAAGAGTAAGTTACAATAATAGTTACAGTACTAATATTATAAATGCAAGTTTGTAAGTTTGTTACACCATGACGTCAAAACGGCTGCAGGGACCAGGATGAAATATGGAACAAGGATAGATTATGGTTTGGAATAGCACATAGGCTACATTTCATGGCACTGGAACACGACCGAAACCACTGGCAGAAGCTATAGTTTGACACAAAACGCCAGGGAAAATTGTGGAAAATTCTGATTACCTCTATCGACAGCGTAGCAACAGACATAGATAAAGATAGACAGTAGACACTTATTAATAAAAATAGGGAAAGGAGATGAAAAGTTCTTGCTTTTTTGCTCAAGATCCGACCTGTGGCTTGATTAAAACAGAAGCCTGTTGCTTATTGGTGCTTTGCCAATGTAATCATGCAGTCGACGAGGTTCATAACCTTTTGCGAAGATATCTTTACTTACTTCTCTTCAGCCGTTTCCTCCACAGGTGGCTGAGGCACGTGTGTCGATAAGTCCGGCAGTTCAACTGCCATCGTATCCATTGCCATTTTTGCACTGTTTTATTACACTTGTGTCCTTATAGTCACGAACATGGATATGTCACAATTTGAAATTCACTTTTTACTCTTTCGTTTGCTCTGGAATTGCAATTATTATGTTATACTTCTGTGTTTTTGGGCGAAAATTATTTCAGACGTTACTCGATACGTAACTCTAACAGATTTGGGTAGCAGTACAGCTAGTTGTCGACCTATCTCGGTAAAATACAGTGAGTGAACAGTGTCAGTACCTATATCAAACGTCGAGATAATGATTCAGGAAGCTGTATTATCATTATCAAAACACTTTAGTGTCCATAGATTACGGAAAATACAATTTTCTAAATTATCAAAGCCTTTTGCTGATTCATGGTCATAACTAATACCGTGTTTAGTTTGACTAAATATTGTTTTAATGTGATTTTATGCCGCCACACTGTCATTTAGATAGTCATCTATATTATTTTCCTGTACAGTTTATTACCCGCTTGTTTTATTGTTTGCCGTGGCAACAATATCGATAGACTTTTTAATACTTTGTTGTTTTCTTCAGTGTTTTCCTTTTCGTACTTATCCATATTTATATCAATTGCTTCACTATAAAAACATACTTTGCTTACATTAGACAAATTAAACACTTATTCCAAGCACATGAAAGACCATGATTGATTGGATTTTATGACACAAATGGACGAACTCGACTACTACACGAACTAAAGTCGAGCGTCGCTGACGTAAAACTAAAATCGATAGTTTGAAATTCTTTGTTTGTACGACAACGTTGAGCTGATATCGTTGGAAGCTACGGTTTAAAACTTTATAGAAGATCAACTACAAAGTTTTGTAAGACTAGGATCTTTGGTATTAAAAGATAGGACCAGGATGTTGAGTTAGTAGCTAAGCAAAAATGGTCTTTGTTTTTGGTTGATTAAGTGTTGTTTTACTTTGAGTTTGGTTTATTGGGTGTTGTAGGCTTAGCGAAAGGATGATTGTCTTTAAGAGAGATTGAAAAAAGATTTTGAATTTCGCTTCGTTCAAGAGTAAAATCATTTTCATGATATAAGATGCGAGTCCTTTGACTTCAAATGGCATAAGAATGCAGTATTCTCAAAACTTACATTTACGGCTTATATTTAATATTATTATTGTTTAAGATTAGGATACTGATCCATGCTATTTACATTCGGTTATTGATCTCTATAAAAAATGGATGAGCAATGCTAATGCAAAGATTGTATGCAAAAAACCGTTGTTATGAATTTAAAATAACTTTTTGTAACGTGACTAGCAAAAATTCTTTAATATTTGAGCGATATTTAAACCTTATGTCATAGCTATATGGGTGATTTTCGTATGACAATTGTCTATTTAAATCATGTAAATTCATGTACAGTAAGAACATGAATTGCTGTATAATGACATTCTTAAATAATTAATTAAACCGGTTTTATTCGGCCTATTGTTATTACTCCTATTAATTTTAATCTCATTAAGAATATGTATGAAATATAATATTGTGTTTGTCCTTCTCTGAATTAATATTGAAATATTTTGGTTCCTGAACAGATCTAACTAAGGCAGCTATGCACATCTAATTTTAGTCCAAATTCTGTGCTACTGCGGTTTTCAAATAGTATGAAAATTCTATGGGTATGGGTATTTCAAATAGTATGGGACTCATAACATAAATAGTGAAAAGTGGGTGTTACATTGTACAGTGGTATAATGTGCACCTCTGCCTACCCCTTCGAGGATA